AAGATTCTATTGAAATTTACATTCATATAGATGTAACAAAAGCCGGGACGCGTAGTAATTTATTTGTTAGTTCTCGGAACGGATGGGCCAAAAAGTAAAATATTTCAGTCAACACTAATTTTATCGAAAAGTTCAGAGTCTTCAAGTAGGTAGCGTCGCCACAAGGCCGTCCTTCGGAGAAGGCTTCATGAAATTTAACAGTATTTTTGAACAAGTTCACTTAGACTGTCGGGGCCATCTGGTATAAAGAGAAAAATCGATATTTCAAATAACGCGCGAAATGCATTCCAAAGAACGTAGGAATTCCCAGAATAAGTTGTAAGAAGTTGTTAGAAAAATAATAATAGATCAAATAGCTGGTTTTTAGGCGGATTTTCCAAGCTATAAGAATAGATTAAATGGAGTCACTAGAGGAAGGCTAGGGTTACTTGTAAGTCCAGTTAGTTACAGAATTATTTATGTAAATGTAAATTCAGTCCATTAGATAACTATTAACATGGCATAGTTATGCCACAGCGTCCCGATATTCAGGGTTCCCTCCAGTAAGATAAGAACATAAACGTCTGGACCCAAGAAATAGGCGTGTCGAAGAGAGGTGTCGAATTCAGGAGAGATCTCCGAAACAACAGGCAGTTTTTCCTTGGGTTCCACATTGAGCAGTCTACTTAGTCTTAGAGTCTCGGGTTAATTTAATAATGGATAAGTCATTCCAAATTTTGCGATGGATCTCGCGTTTCCTGAATCTCGGTACGCTGTCGCGTGTAAATAAATTAATTAGTAATGTTGTTCGAGCCGTTGTGTCGTTATTTTGTTTGTTTGTTTTGTTTATTGTTATTAAAACCATTCCTAGGAAGTTATGGTGTTTCTTTTTGTTCTTCCAACTTCAGTGTCACCCTGTACAGCTAGTAACTGGATTACATTCTACGTAATCAACGGATAGTAAGTGCTTGAAGTTCATTCTCTGAACATACAACCTTTCTAAGTCCCCACGTATTAATCAAAGTGTAATGATAATTATAAACTCCCTTTCGAGAAGTTATTAGTAAACTCTTTTGTCAGTTAACACCATTATGATGCTGGTCATAGCGGTATAAGATAAGTAAAGAAATAACCCCTCAGATTACATAGATATCACTTTATGACATAGTAAACGACATACATAATTAGATTAATAGAACTCTGAAAAATACGCCCCCTCTGAATTAATCTTAAATAAAAGGAAATAAAAAATATATGATGACCCCGACAAAACCATGAGAATATTAATTCAAAGGAGGTATTGTTCACAATTCTGTTAATTCAATTATTTCATTAGCTATATTATAAAGTGACAGTAAAGCAATGAAGCAAATACAGCAATGAAGCAAACACATTAAGATTTCATATATTTTTTTTATTTACGAGATATTGAGATATATTCAACATTATTAAAACATAATATTTCATTTTTGACTTAGGAGATATAGTTTGTTTATTACTAGGAAACCGAATAGGAAAACAACGTCATATGACTCTAGGACGAAATAAGCGGACCTAAATATTATCGCCCGTATTTTGACCCTATTTTGTACCCTTCTTTTCTGCAAGGGTCGAATAGTAAATGTGGCTTGTATAAATGAAGCAGACAAATGAAAGTACAAATTTTATTAACATTAATATTTGATGCATAACAATAATTTGATTTAAATTAATATCAAGAATCATTTACAACCGTCTTTAAAAACGAAAGGACAATCTGAGAAGGAACTTTTAACAGTAACCCCAGAAAAACTACCTAAATTTTCTTTGCCATCGAATAAATGTTGTTCATTTTCCTTCACAATCAATTCAGAAAAATTGTCATCACTAGGTCTTTCAACTTGTGCTACTAAACGAGCTATTTTGTTCTTGGACGTTATGGTATCTTCTACATATCCTTCAATTTTATCATCTGCATCTACGAGTAGAGTTGCAGATGTACGACGCAAATAATGACCTGTGTACATTTTAGCATCTACGTAGCGGAAATATTTTGCAGTTCTGGACGGTATGCTACCGAAGGTATTTTTACCTACTGATTGCGCAGTACATCGACCATTTCGATATGTCAGAAAAAAACGCCGTTCTTTAATTTATTTTGGTCGTAAAGATATATACTGTCGATACAATTGGAGAGCGTGCATTTCATTTTCTTCCACCATAGTAAAAGATTTTGGTACTCCAGTTTTTGTATCGTTCATTTTTACTACAACAACGATTCTTTTGTCATATACAGTGTCTCACTTAAGCATTAGCCACCCATGTAAAATTGTTATTTGTTGACCGATTTGTTTCAACTTTTTTTTGTTTGATAGATCTCAGAAAAAGGAATAGAATGTATAATTTCGGTATTTTCGTGATCTATGCCATGGCCAACTGAGACGCGTTTTATAGGAAGAAAAAACGAAAAGTAATATTAGCGATTTTTTTCGACAAAAACTGCAACGGATTCTTATTTTATTATTCTTAACTATTTTAATGAAAATTCGTGGTCGATTATTAGAGATGCCAGCATTAATTTAAGTATATCTAGAAATCGAATTTGGAGATGTTTAAAAAAAATTGGAGGAAGGCATACAAACGGAAATTTCTTCACAGTCTAGAAATAGGAGGCAGAGAAAGAAGAATGGAATTTTGTTTCTGTTGAAAAATATTTTGAACACTGATGAAGCTACAAACGGTACTGTTTATTCGCAAAATATTAGAATGTGGTGTGAAGAAAATCCGCATTGGATTATACAATGTAAAAGGCAGTATTCCGCTAAGGTGAATATTTGGTATGGCATTTTAAATCTAAAAATCATTGGGCCTTAACTATTTTGAAGGAAATTTAAATGCGGATGGGTTTTGGAGCTTCCTACAAAATGAATTTATGGACGTAACAGCCCTTTAATTCATTGGCCGCTGCGGTCTCCAGATCTCACACCTCTCGATTTTTTTTGTGGGGAGCTGTTAAAAATAAAGTTTATGTTACGAGGCCCCAAACGCGAGAAGAACTTTGTGAACGTATTACAGACGCATGCCGTAACTAGGCAACAGTTACGAAAAGTAACAATTAATAGTCGTCGACGTATTGAAATGTGTTAAATCATAATAATAAGTTTCCTTTATTACTAATTTGACGAATACTGATACACAATATTCAAATAATGCATGTGTTTCGCAAATAAATCTTCAGTTGATTTAAAAAATTAAGGTTTAATTTTCTACAACACCTTGTATTCTATCACAACAAAAATTGGTATAATAGGGTTTTAGATAGTCCTGAATAAGAATCCGTTGCAGGTTCTGTCGAAAAAAAATCGCTAATATTACTTCTCGATTTTTCCTCCTATAAAACGCGTCTCAGTTGGCCATGGCTTAGACCACAAAAATACCAAAATTATACATTCTACTCCTTTTTCTATGATCTAGCAAACAAAAAAAAGTTTAAACAAATCGGTCAATAAATAACAATTTTGCATGGGTGGCTAATGCTTAAGTGGAACACACTGTATATCATCTACCTAGAGCTCATCTCTTCTTAATCCTCCAAGAACGTTACTAGAACAACCTACAATAACAAAAACCTATTAAGCACATGTAACAATATAGTCAATCCTATATTACCTTTTCCAAAAGATATGTATGACTTGATGCTTTTCTAATAAATTTCAAATTATCCTCTCTTGTCAATATCTTAGTTTTTTTGGAGTATATCCTTCCAAAATTTGCTTCAAATAAGCCTCTAATCGATGATATTCTCCTATATTTACTTTTCTGTGCACTAATAATGTTGTTTTCAACATCGAATACTTTGTCCCCAATGTATTAGGACTGAATGATTCTGACTAAAAGATATATAAAAAATATATTATCAAAAATTATAAATATTTCTTTAAAGTGATAAAAGGTAATACACACCAGCTCTTGGAAATATCCCATTAACATAGTGTCACTAACAGCTGTCACTGAATTTATGCTTGTCCAAGTCCCAAAACGTTTATATTCTTTATCATAAAGTAATTTAGATTTGTTAGGCAGTAATTCTTCATTGGCTTTATTGGCTTTAGCATCAACTATTGCGGGAATATTATCCATTCTGCCTTTTCAATTCAATAGAATCAGAATCAAACATCAAACTGTCAAAATCAACAAATTTGTGGGGTCATAGGTACATCTTGGATACATCGTTTATACATTGAAAAACTGTTTTCATTAATTTACATTTAATTATTAAATTTAAAATAAATATAAAATCAAATGTCTAAGTAAAAAATAAAATCTATGTACCACGGGAGATACTAAAATAATTATACCCTTAGGCTGTATTTCCTTTGGTACATAAATAACTATTTCTTTAAATATGAAAAACCGACTGCATTTATTTTTTTTTTTCTAATAATGACAGCCCACTACTGTAGTCTAGTACTATTTTACGCAGTAATTAAACGGTAAGGAAAATCTGTATATACTCAAATTCCATTACCCTTATTGTTTGAGGTTAGAAAGTGGTCATTCGAATGGTTAATTATGGTGCTAAATTTGTATTCGGCTCTTTAAAAAACGTACTAGAAAAAAGCTGTGTCCCGATTTCCATACAATTTGAAAGTATGGAATGCTCCACGAATGTTTTTTAAGGTTAGGTTGGAATTCTAACCTATAAGTTTAAAAGTACAATGTACTAGAGTATCGATTTTCATTAATTTATTACATGCTTGGTTATTTTTTATTTCGACTTATTTTCTATCTAATATGACACTTTTTTATTTTGCGTGCCTGTGTTATCAATACGTTTTTTTTCCTGCAGTGCCCTGTTTTTTATATTCCAATTTACCAAAACGCAAAAATTGGGGTTTAACATTTTTCGGAATGTTTGCGCGTTTTCACGAGTGTAATACCAGCAGAATATACGTGTACGGCCGTAAGCGTGACATATAATCCGATTGTGTAATTAAACCCAATACCCGTCAGTCAATCAATGCGCTCTCGTTTTGTTGCAGGCTGCTGTTTTGTCACGTTCTTCACCAGGAGAGCGGCCCTGAAGGCACAGGGTGCCCTGCACAACGTCAAGACCTTGGATGGGGTAAGTTACATTTAGGCCCTTATTATTACAATCATTGTCATGAGCAAAGTACACATATCAGATGGGAAAATTTTTTTAATCGTCATTGAAAAATGTTGACTGGCAACGTTTTTTGTAAAAAAAAATAATGCCAAATAACGTAAGTTAAAATAACCACGCGATTTTTTACAATTTTTATATTTTACTAAATGTTTTTAACACCCTTTATACAAATTTATGAACATAATTTTTTTACCATTCAAAATAATACAAAAGTTTATACAAACATTTTTTTGATAATCTGCAAGTAAAATTTTGTAATAATAGATGAAGTATATTTTTTTCGTTAGAGAACAAATTGTTCACAAGTGGAACATAAAAATATGTTTTTTTAATTGGAAATGCTATTTTTTTTAATTTGTCGCTTCACATAAAATATGGCATTTGTGAAGCAAAGTCTTTATTTTAGTTTTTAAAATATTTATAGGCATATAAAAAACATATTACTCAGAAATTAGGTTTTAATTAAGAAATTCATAAACTTGACATTTTCGTCGAGACAAAAAACTCATTTCCGTTTCGATCAAGCCTTAGAAAAGTCATCAATTTCTCGTATATGAGAAAAAACACTTTAATTTGGCAATTAAAGATATTACATATTATAAACTGAACTACCTACTTTAAAACACATTTTTAGGCGTTTCTATAAAGAATGATATTTTCTCATAAACTCAATAAAAAAGTTTTTCCTATCGAGAACTATTGTCCAATCAATAAGAGCTTACAAAAAATATCACCTGGAAACAAACACCTGGTGATATAGGAAAAAAATTCTAAGAAAGGTAGTATATTTTTCCTGTGGCGCATAAACGGCGAAGTTAATCTAAAAAATTAATAGAAAGTCAAAATACAGTTTTACGCTACTAAAAAAAAAAAATTGAACTCCAATCCAAAAAAGTTAAATGAGAATTCATATTTATGTCGATTGCTATATTACTTTTCGAGATATATCGAGAAAACCATCAAAAATTGACTTTTTTGCTTTTGCTGTATCTCTTGCAAATTAAAGTTATGAAACTCGTTACTTGTTGTAAATGTAGTCCTCGGCAAGCAAAAAAGTACCCTTTTCTAAAATTAAAAAATATTAAAAAAATGTTCGAGTTATATCGATTTTTCGAAAAAAGGTCATCTCGAAAATAGGCTCTCTTGCTCTACAAATAGTCGTAGAGAAACGAATCATGGCTCATTTTTTCCTTGAGAGTTGTACTTTCATGGCAAAAAAGAGTGATAACGATTTTATTCATTGCAAGTGTCCAAAGATGACTTTGAAAAAAGTAAAAAAATTTTGGTCGCGTTTTTCTTGAATATCTTTTTCGATTTTCATTTCTCGATAATATCTACTACAGGAATCAATTGCTGGCATTTTTACGAGAATTTAAAAAAAAATAGCGTTACTCTACGACCTTCTGGAGCCAAGATATTTTTTTTTCAAAAAATTCCACAGGCCGCTATTTAAGACTTATCTATATTTTCAATAAGAAAATAATGTGGTTCATTTTAGCCACTTGATTGGACTACTATTCCCAATCATATTAAATACCTGTCAAATTTGAAAATATCTAAAATGGGGTTATTTTCTAAAAATATTGTTTATTTTTCAATAATTATGTTCCAATTTTCAATCATTTAGATTTTTTCTTATTTTTTTGTTTTTTTTAACTGACTAAATATTGTTTAACATTTTTTTTATTTACAATGTTTTATGTACAATTTTTCAAACAAGATGAACAGTTTCTAGTTTACAACAATGTATTAATTTTATATTGATTTTTTATTAATTTAACATATCAGTATATAGTGCGATTTTATCCTTAGCAGTACAATGTGATAGTTAACACGGTCAATTCTTTCCCAACACTTAGGATGTCAGGATGCCTACGCATCATCTGCTTGGTTAAAAAATAATCTATAACATATTTTTATTTCTGAAAAATTACGTAAGGAACGACAATATTGTTTCCTGCGCAAAACGCCTTTTTCATAGAATATATATATAAAAAAAATGTCATTAAATGTCATTAAAGTCGTGCAAAATTGGAATTTATTCTCATCCTCCAAATTTCAAAGCAATCGACCTACTTTGATGTTCTTCAGTTTCTACATCCTGTACAAGTGCCCTCTTTGTGTAAAAAATCAAAAAAAGATGAAGGCTGAACATCTCACCTTAAACACTCTGTAGAGCGCTCATGCATCTCGGTTATCACATTCCGCATATTGCACAACAATGGAAGGCGGTCGGCATGTGGGATCTGTCCGTCCGTCCGTCTCACCTGATAGGTAGACAATTCTCCGACGTTGGCGTTGTCGTCGTCGTCGGCTGGTTACGACAGAATGCCGTACATGCACATCCGGATCGGTGACATTGTCGTGTTAGAACACAATGGAAGCCTACGCCGTAACTCAGGCCAGACAACAAATTAATTTTGCTATTCTTTTTGGTACCTAATAAATAAGGTGATTGATATTATGAAAATTTGCTTTTTATTTATTTATCTACTTCAACGATCGCCTGGAAAATTTGGAGACTTGTATACAGTGTGTATTTTCTAGAAGGTAAACTGCCTATGTCCAAGAGTAAAAGAACGTAACTGATCTGATTGTATTATTATCAAATTGCTATACATATTTTTAAATATAATAGAAAATATCCAGTGTGCCTACAATGAAAGTTGAAAGAGGTAAAGCGTTTTGATTTTATTAAAAAAAAGCAATTTGTGTTTAAAAAATCAGTTTTTGAGCAAATCTACATAAATGCAGTTTTCAGTAATTTAACTAATTTATTAGTCCAACAGAAGTAATTCCATTTATAGAGCTAAATTACATTGAAATAACTTCATAATATAATTATAAAAAACTCAATAACATCAGAAGAACAAAAAACAAAAAAAGATAAGAAAGATACAAAAGTTCAGTAAAGTGCAGGAGTTAATTGAATATACTTAACCTAAGACATGTCACTTGAAGCAAACAGAGGCATCAGTTATGATCCTGGTTTACTATACTCATTCATAACATTTTAACCGAACAATCGTTCATATCGCAAGTGTTACAGATAGACCAGTGCGTAAGCCTTCAAAAATGGTAAAAAGTGAAAAAAAATTATAGTAGGATGAAACCCATCGGAAAAGGAAGAGAATGTAACAGAAATGAAAAGAAAAATAATTTACGGGCGATCTGAGGTCGGGAAGGGGAAGGGGGTGAGTTTTTAATGGTAAAAAACGGTTTATCTTGATTTTCCGAAAAACTACAAGTCTTATGGAAAAAAGTTAAATGGCAAAGTTGTAGGTAATAAAAAGATCTACAACTTTTATATTTACACCTTTTTCACATAACCTCAAAATTTATGTGAAAAATTCAAATAACCAAGTTTTTGGTTTTTTATTTTTATCTTTTACAAACAATTTTTTTTTACGAAATTTAGTGAAAACTTACCTATTTATGTCCCAAACACGTTGTAATTTTTTTGATTTGAAACATTTATTTTTTTTCACCTTATTTTTACTTAATATCGAAAAAGCACCCTAATCTTCAATCGAAAATTCTCACGTCAAAATATCTGCTTTTTTAAAAACGTCGGTGGGCTTTTTCTTCGTTGAAATCTCTACTTTCTGATCGTGTAAAAAATTATATACATTACTATGGTAAGTTTTCTCAGGAAATGCAAAGAAACGAACTATAATCCGAATTTTTTTTTCTAATCATTATGTACAATTTTGAGCTATTTATTAAAATTTACACTTTAATTACTCGAAAAACGTAAGATTCCATGTTATATTGATAAACAAAAAAATTACAAGTCGAAATATACTATTATAATTAACAACCAAATAAGTTAATAAAGTTAATATTTAATAAGACTTCTACAATATTTTGAGAAAGTTGTAGAATCTTCTTTCGTTTCTTTGCATTTCCTGACAAAACTTACCATACTAATGTATATTTTTTTTACACCATCAGAAAGTAGAGATTTCAACGAAGAAAAAGCCCACCGACGTTTTTAAAAAAGCAGATATTTTGACGTGAGAATTTTCGATTGAAAATTAGGGTGCTTTTTCGATATTAAGTAAAAATAAGATGAAAAAATAAATATTTCAAATCAAAAAAATTACAGCGTGTTTGATCTTTTTATTACCTACAACTTTTTCATTTAACTTTTTTCCATAAGACTTGTAGTTTTTCTGGAAATCAAGGGAAACCGTTTTTACCCTTAAAAACTCACCCCCTACCCCTTCCCGACCTCAGATCGCCCGTAAATTATTTTTCCTTTCATTTCTGTTATATTCTCTTTCTTTTCCAATGGGTTTCATCCTACAATAATTTTTTTTTGGTTTCAAAAATTATCGACCCTAGTCTAAGATAGAACTAATGTCTTGCACATAAAATAAACTGGGATCTTTAACAATAAGTTTGTGCAAGCCCTTGGCAAATAAAAAGTTGCATGATTCCTTCCCTCAGCGCGTGGTACTAGAAAACTTAGTTGCTCTAGTAAATCTGGGCAATCAATTTTATTATGAATTAGATTATAAAGGAATTATACGAGTACGGGAATGTACTCGTAATTTGGAACATATTTTTATTTTTGAATAATATTATAAGCTCTCTCAGAAGCTAAAAATATTTTCTGTGAAAAAAAAATTACTTTTTTTAAAATAAATCGGTCACAGGATCCCACACTGTCTTTATGAAAATATGGGTTCGGTCACATTGGCTGAATTTGTGGTAAGTTGTTGGTTTTGTGTTACTGACCAAAGGTCTCTACCAGTACTTGGTTCCAAAAATCAATTGTTTCTTAATTTGACACGTCTGTGTTATAGACTACAATAAGGATACCCACCAAATGGCAGGTTACAATTGCTAACTAACCCTAAGAAATAGTTTCGAAAGGAATATCAAGATAGTAATACTTGAAAAGAAGGATTAGAGGAAATAATCCTTTGTTAAAGCTAATCTACTGGTATTCG